TGTTGGGCTCTAACACACCTAGCCGACTGGCACAACTTGCTGTGGCGCAAGATTATGTTCTGTTTGTCTCACCATAAAATCTCAATCCTTTTGAGAAATCGTCCACCGGTGTCTGCAAAATAATGAATAAACTAATATTATTATTAAAAGGGTTTAAGCGAAGAGGTGCAAACATTCGCCGCACGATGAACATGCTGCACCTCAAGGCCACTAGCTATAGATCAAAGTGTGATTGGTACTGATTGCAGAATAGAGCCTTTTTCCCCCCATGCAAGCCGCTAATTCGATCAGCAACATATTGCATGCCCTCCAGACCAATCAATTGTCTGTTGCGGGCTTTGTGCAGGGTTTATTGAATAGCAAAGATCCGCATCATCACATTGGGCGCGAGTCTCTGCTTCGCAATGCTGGAAACATCTGTTCATTGCTCTATCATCAAGAGAGCGCCCACGAGCCAGTATCAAAATGGGCAATTGCAGCAGTTACAAAGATAATCTGCAGAGAAGTTACTGATTTGAGCCATGAGAGGCACGGGCTATATTTCAAGGCAAGTGCTGCAACGGTCGAGCAGCTCGAAGGCAAATTTATGGAGATGATGGCAACAAAAATGTGTATGGTAACACCATTGTTGTGGGGCCTCATCAGCGCTCTCCTCGACAGCCATCAGGACCGCCGTCGTGCCATGATAAATCTTGATGGCATGGCAAGTAGCCTTGGTTCAGAGGCAGAGATGGATCTTGGCGAGTTTGGTGGTCATGAAACTGAAGGTTGGAAGAGTGCAACATCTATGCAAGTGACGATGGCGACGGTGCGGGGAATACAAAGAAGACACCCAAAAAAAACCAGGTATGGGCAGCAGAAAGGAATGCTGCGCTAATGGCCATTGTGAGTCTGGGTCAATCAATATGCAATCGTTCGAGTTAACAATTTTGCTACAGAAGGCAGTTGTCTGCATCAGTATATTCCTACAGAACTCAAATGAGAGGTGCAATTACCTTCAAGGCATCCTTGGGTTCTTTTATCACTCGACCTCGGTCCCAGAGAAAGTCATCGAAACGCTTGCTCATGCCGGTCTGTCCATCAGCATTTCTTCAATCCACAGTGCTGTCCAATCTGTATCAAACCAGACATCAGCTAGAATAAGACACGCAGTTCGATCACTACAGTCAGCATTTGCTTACGATAACTTTGATATTGACTTCAAAACTGATCAGCCAACGCTCAAGCACCGTTCAAATTTTGTCAGTGCAACCTCTGCGACTGTCATACCACTGTTTGGCGTGAACAGCGCCAACCAGTTGCGCTGTTCCCAGTGGATGTGGGAATGAAACCCTCACAATCCAACCCTCCCTCTCAACCCACCACATCCTCTGTTTATCGAACTTAAATCTATGATGTGGCTGCATAAAGATGACACTTACAACCAACAGCCAAACCCAATGATACCTAGTCCACGGCAAGAAGCATTTGCGTGGCATGTTCGGGAGATCCTAGTCCACCATGGCCGACATTTTCGACATTTTGAGAAGGAGTTGTGCGAGCCAGCACCGGTGGACCGCTGTCTTAATAACCGAGGGTCTTATATAAAGTTGTGTAAATGTAATGACACCACAATTACACTTTGGATAAGACTGCTTGCCAGTCCTCGATTAACACGGTCTACGACTTTTCCTATTTCGTGGTAGATAACGTGTGAGTTCTTGGGAGGCTCGCTAAACTAATCTTTTATTAAGATCAACCTAGCCGGAGCTTTACTTTTCTTAATTGAAACTCAAATCTCTTGTCTAGGAATAAGCTTCTAGACACGTAATTCGGTTTCTGAAATGTATTTGCCTAGGAAATCTCCTTCTAGGCTCTGGACTTGGATACTGGAACTAGTGAGACGTGGTCTCAAATATATGAAATATGACCAAGATCGCTTGGTCTATGGACACCTGACTGTGAGACAATGGTCTCAAATATACGATATATATTCAAGATCGCTTGAACAAAGGGGACTATAACTTGACCAAGATCACTTGGTCTATGGGACAACTAGTGAGACGTGGTCTCAACAATATGATAGATGACTAAGATCGCTTAGTCAAAGGGCACAGAGCAATGAGACAAAGGGGTCTCAAAGACAATATATATGACCAAGAACGCTTGGTCTATGGCACTAATAAGTTTCTAAGGTAAGAAACTTATAATCTCAAGGGAATTCTTTTCCCTGCACTTGTCTCACTTCAAAGGGACTAACTTTGCAAGTGAAATATCTGAGAGGCAGATTGCTACAAATGGGAGATCATATTTTTTTGGGGGGAGAATGGGCTCTCCTTATATACATTTTGTGTGGGAAAGTAACCTAGGTTCACAAACAATAAAAAATAAGGAGGACCAATCAAAATATTGGGTCAAACCCAATAAAAGAATAAAATACAAGTGAAAGATGGAGCTATGACATCATTGTGGAGCAGAACATTCTGGAATGTGGAGTAATGACATCATAATGACATCAAGAGTGACATCATTGTGGAGCAAAAGATTCCAGAACCTTCCATGAGTGAGTCAGAGTGAGTCATTGTGGAGCAGAATATTCTAGAAGGAAATGACATCATGAATGATGTCATTGTAGAGTAGAATAATCTAGAGCTTGATGACATAATATCTTTCAACAGAATACCTGCAGGAGTATCTGTGGAGTCTTATGACATCATAATGACATCATACCCTATGGGTACAATTTTTATGAAGTGTCAGGTGAGTCAAAGCATCCTAATGAAAAAGTAAAGTAAAGAAACACTAGAGAAAAGTAGGTAGCAAAAATAAGACAGTTGGCAGGAATTGAAACACAGTCTTTTTGGATAGGTTTTTTATTGGCTTTGTACTTTTCTCTATGGTTTTCTCTAGCCAAAGTGAATAAGCCAAAGGCAAGGCTATACCTTAACCTTCATTTCTCTTCTCACATCAACTAGGTCTAAATGTGATTCCCATCTCACATTAGACTTTTTCCGTCAAAACGTATTCAGATCATGAAACTTGGGGAAAACTAGAAATATGGACCATGGTTTGAAACCAAGGTATGGGTTGACTAGTCTGAGGACTAAGCTAGCAGACTTTATCTTTTGAGGGTCACCTAGTATTCATGTCCATGCATGATTCCCACATCATGCAGGACACCGCATACCCTTGCACAAGACTGAGCAGGTACCTTGCTGGGCCATGAACATCAAACAGTCAACAACAGATGGAAACATTGAAGTGATGGAAAACTTACTTCGTCAAGGGGGGATTGGAGATCAAAATAGCGACGACTTCAACAAGGACCATGACATAGACATGTCAGATCACGTACTCCTTGTCCATGGTGACCTTTTGACAAAGGAAAGGCTGGACACTGTTGGCAACAGCAGGAGAATTGAAATGACACCAAAAAACCGCTTACAATATGTTGTTTTTCTTCCTGGGTTTTTCCATTACAAGATGGCATGTGCGGATGCGCTCTGGCGTATATATCTTCAGCCAAAGGAAGGCAGAGATGATGAGAATAGTCTGTTCCAGTCAGTGAGGTACTTGCGACCAGATGAAACCAAGAAGATGGTTACCAAGCCTGGATTTCGACATATGCATGAAGTCATACATCACGACCTTCAAGCATCAATGCTTGACTGCTGGCGACTTGAAGCGCAGAGCCAAAACCGCGAGTGGACGACCCTGGAATTGTTCACAGCTTCGAAACCATCCTGGGATACTATTGTAAGTATATCACACACGATCGTGGAGAAGTATGTTGCACGCACAGATACACTCGACCACACACATGAGAAGCCCAAGGAACAATGGGACAGGCATTTTGAAAACCAAGTCCTTCGAAATCGAGACAGATCACTGTACGTTGACCTATGTCAAGCAATGAATGCCGGAGATATTGGTCGAGTGGAGGCTTCGTTTCTGCCATGGATATACCTGTTCAAGGCCACAGGGAAGCATAAATATACAATACAGATCCTGCACTTCCTGACCAACCTTCGATATAACTACCCCATCGAGCTGAGGTGCGTAACTTGCAGAGTCTACTAAGGGCAGGAGATCAACGTTACAGACGAGCAGAAACATAATCCGGATGAACTTATTATGTAATCCGATGGGGAAACCCTTGTCCTTCTGTCCAGTTGACTGGTTGGTAGAGAGAAACAACTTGTATACAAAAGTCAGTGATTGATTGACATGGCGCACACAGCCAGACACAAGATTTGACTGTATGATAGGTTATATTTGCTGGAACAGGACCCAATCGCACAATCAATCACATTATCAAGCAGTCGCCTCTTATTGAAGTCTATCGTAACTGTCATGTCACTGTGGAGAACACATTCCATTTAACTCATTGCACAATCCGACACGCACAACCTGACATGACAAAAACAATTCAGCGCCTAGCATCACGCGTGAAAGAAAAGCACTCACATATGTTCAAACCTGGCCAGTCAGCAATGTGCAGCATTCCCGATCAAGTAGCCGCCGGCATGACACTAATGCAAGAGAGAAAAGTCAGTATGGCAGATGAAGCAGAGACTGATGACATAGAACCAGAAGATTTGATAGACTGACCTCATATTGGAAGATGAAAACATGTCCAAGGATGTTAGAACTAGAGTAGCGGACGGTGTTGGGAGAGCAGTGGGAGGGACAGGAGGAATGTTTTCGCCGTTTAGAGTAGCGGACGGTGTTGGGAGAGCGGTGGCAGGGACAGGAGGAATGTTTTCACTGTTGGATTTTGACTGGTGGCTTTTGGTGCCATACTTTGGGCAGAGTCGATTTCTTGCTGTGGAGTGACAGAAATGGTTAATGGTCAGTGACAGTAGAACATTGTCAGGAAACATACCATTGTGCCCCATTCCTAGACATGCCCCACAATGATTCTGCCATTTTGACGGAGCTGCAGGCTGAGGTGGACCAGGTGTTGACTCATTTTGTCGTGTTGAGGGTGCTAGTGCTGGTGTTGGATGGGCAGGTATACACGCCAGGACTATGTCGATGATTTTGGTGCCATACTCATTTGCGTAGCACCAGTCAGTTTGCTGACAGAGGGAAGTGGTATCAGGAAGCTTGAGCGCGTATGCTAAGTCGCCAATCTGATCGAGAGTTTTGTTCAACAGGATGACTTGAGGACCAAAAAAGACGTCACTGTCAAGACCTTCCTCCACCATCTGAAGTTCATGCCACTCCCGCAACTTCTCCCGTAGTTGGCGCTCGCCAGATGTCATCTTGTGGTTGGGAATCCTGATCTTGCATTTTGCTCGCAGTGATGGGAGAGCTTGTGTTGGAAGTAGGTTGATACTCAATGTGGTGTCACTGCATGTATCACAGCACACGTGCGACCAGTCTGGGCTGCAGCGATGACAACATCAATTTTGTGATTCTTGCGCTTCGTTTTATTCAGTAAGCAGCAACATTAAATCAATTTGAATGGTAGTACCTGCAGTGTTATCAAAATATTCATCTGCGACCCTCCTGCGGCAGAACCCACGTAGATGTCCATTGATAAATGCTGCCATTGCGACTGTCTCATACTCCCCATTGTCAAGGCTGGTGGGAAGTATTTGTGAGACTCCTAGTCCTTCCGTGTTGTTCCCAATGCCAATTCTACTGTCTGTGTCATTGATATTGTCATCATCCGTGCTATCTCCATCAGTACTCCCTTCGTTCTCATCATGCAACCTCTCAGTTGTATTACCATGGCCACTTCTGACAACCTTTGCACTCTTTTGCAGGCACTGCTTTTTCGACGAGTCTGCAGTTCGCCTCCATTTGCCTTTGTAGGTGTCAAAATACTCTTGCTCAACAAAGTACATTGCTATTGCAGTCACCGCAGGGTCACAGGCAGCACATCCTAAATGCTGCATAAGTGCACACAGTGATCCAGTGTAGCCCCACTGGATAACCAACTGAATATCTCGAAGGTCGAGGCCCTAAATTTATGTGAACCATGAGTCTCTGAACCGTGAGTCTCCGTCATTACGAAGATTAAAAATAATGACTTTACCATCCCTGCCACATCCGTACAAAATATTCCCCATATTTCACCTTTACAGAGCTTTGCGATGATCTCGGTTCGAAACTCCATCATCATTCCCGAATGGAACCAAACTATTTTGTTGCGAAGGTGAGCCGGCAATTGAGTCCAGCAGTGTTCGACAGCGTGCTCAGCAATTCGTCGAGAATTGACGAAAACCATGAACTTCTTTGGCGGGCCAGCATCAAAATTGAGGACACAATCCAAATCGTGGAAGCAGTTTTTGGGGTAAAGCATCGGCACAACCATCAAATGGATATTTGGTCAGTCATTCGAACACTGAATCTTGACCACCCTGTTGACATTCATCCGCAGCTTTGTTTGCACGTCATGGAGTATGTGCAGAGGCATTGTCGCTGATGCAACATGAAATCCAACATGCGGTGGCAGTAGCCACCACAGAACACCCAGTTCATTGTAAAGGGGATGGAATCCATCTCCCCACTCGCTGATGCAGTGCCCCTCATCTATGGTAATGTTAAACAACTTTCTGGTGAATTTTTTTGACTTCCACAGCATCCAAAAGTGTTGGTCTTGGAGGATACGCTCTGGACTCACACTGATCACTTGGTATCTGAGGTCCTCGATATCCTGTTGAAGAGGTGAGGGTTTGATTGATATTCCGAGTCCTAATTAATGAGAACTGACCTTGAAAACCTGGTCTGTCGCAGTAGTGGCTGTCAAGTTCATAGCGCTGATACCCATAGCACAAACATCGTTCTCGTTCTTGTCACCAAGTATGTTTAGCGGTGTGATGATAATGGTGATTCTGTCGTCATTGCAGAGCATCGGAATCCAGAATGTCAAAGTCTTGCCGGAGCCAGTAGGTGAGATGGTGAAGACATCTTTTTTCTGAAGCTGAGATAGAGCCGAGTTGAGCTGCCAGGTACATGGAGTGAATCCAAATGAAGTTTCAGTGAGCATCTTGAGATCATCCAAGGTGGAGACTTCATATCGCAAAGCCGACATGACACTACTAGTGCAAAGAATGATGTATATCGACACATATCTCAAAAGAATTAATATTAATATTCATTACTGACATCTTGACTTCTGTAAGCGCCGGAGGATTGAGATTTTATGGTGAGACAAACAGAACATAATCTTGCGCCACAGCAAGTTGTGCCAGTCGGCTAGGTGTGTTAGAGCCCAACAAAAAGTCGGAATTATGTTGGAAAAACTTTATATGGTTGTATTTGTACACTAGGATTAAGGCACTCTACACACCGCCGATTGGTTTGGAGTCTGCACTGGATCTACCATACTGTCAAAAGGTGTGTAAAAACTTTCTCTCCGAGTGATTACTCTTGCATAAGGTAATTCAGTAGACTTTGACAAAGATTTATCTAGCTTTATTTAATGTATAATATTAATAATATGTATCATAATTGTAGACCACATGAAAAGGAATAGATAGGCAGCCTACATAGGTGAAATTTGCCAAAGCTATAATATTGACATGCCTGTGTTACTTAGTTATGATCTATTGACACACTGGTGTGTCATTGTCAGATGTATTTAACCTTCATGGGCAGTGTGGCATCTACATGGCCACTCAGCCTAAACCCTCAAGTATACCATGTGATTATTGTACTTCACCTATATTTTTCTGAATCTACTTTACAGTTCCAAGTTATTATGGTGCCCTGCGCCTCCATACCCTTTACCCTACTTATTTCACGTGTTACCTTATAGAAAAGCCTATTAAAGACCCAGTAGTTAGATATGTACAGTTGGTGTTCTTGCAACTAAGCTATTACCTGGTGACATTGCTTGATCGTCTAAGTGTTTGCTATTGTGTCTTCACCTCAAGTGTTCCCACTTCAAGCTGTCGCCACATATTTTTTCACCTTCAACTAGCTTAATCTAAAACATATCCCACTGACATTCTCAAAACCTAGGTCTGGCCAACCTCTGGCGATGAGTCGGCAAACAACAAACAAGATTCCATTCAACAGCAACATGACAACTGTAAACTACGAACTATGACCCATCAACCAACGCGCATGGACAATCTTCCCAACACCAAGACCCCCAGGCACAATGCCTTCATCTCCCTTCAATGATACCCCTGACCTAGCCCCACATATAGTGGCTAAATCAGACAACCCCGCCCTATGAACAGTATGTTTGCATAGCAATGTCATTCAGGTGAGAAACCCTTGGTTTGGGCTGTGTGCCCCCAAGGAGATGACCGACGGGAAAAGCCTGGTAGCCGATAATACCCCTGTATATGAAGAAAACTCTTTAGAAGATGTTAAAGAAATACTAAGTAATATTACCTTACCTCCTGCTCCTGGTGTAGTGTGCCCAAACTCCAAAAGTGATGAGTCCAATGACAGTGGTCATCCATGGGTCATGGTGCAACGAAAGCATCGCCATGAGGGTAACAAACCTGCAATAGTAAGAAATGACAGTGAGACATCTCACCATTTGACTGAGGCACAACAAACCATCATTCACAAGGCAAAATGTCGCCTGACAGATGATGAGCGTGAACAAGTGAACCAATGACAGTCAATGGTAGACTCACATGCAGGAAATGAGTATGCAGCATCAACAGATGTGGGACCCTTGAAAGGCAAGGCTATAGACCCCAGAGAGTGGGCAGCAGCTGGCCTTAATGAGGAAGAGTTGAATGCAGATGCCTAGCATGCTGCATTTAAGGCCTAGAGGGCTGCCAAGTCAGCCACCGAGGCTGAAGGAACTGACCTGGGTGACACTAGCACCGAAAGGGCCCCACCTAGGAGCATCGAGATCTCCAAGGAAGAGATTGAGTGCCTTGTGCAGGAACGAGCCATAGAGGCCGTAAGGGCCACAGAAGCACAAATGGAGAGGAAATATGAAAATAAGATCCACAAGCTAAATAGAAAGCTCAACAAAGAGCTGACTAAGGAAAAAGCACCTACTGGTGATAGTACAGCTTCTGCAGCTTGCCCCAAGCAGGTTAAACTCATTGTTGAACCAACGGAGAAGTCCTTGACTCAGATGAGAGGATGTAGTAATACCCCTCACACCATGCAGCTGGTACATCAAGTAATGGCTGAAAGCTACATCAGGCAGGCATTAGGTCGAGTGTCCTCGAGAAAACCCGACAAAAGAACTCACCAGGCATTAGGGTCCACCTGACAATGATCCTGAGCAGTGAGTCTAGCTTGAGTGAATCATCAATGAGTTCATCCAAAAGCTCGAGTGAAGATTTGGCTGACTCAGACTTGAGGGATTTGGCATTTGATTTCTCATCTTCTCCAGTCTCTTTTAGTAGTCTCACAATCACTTAAGATTTAGTCACTTGATTCCAACTTCACAGTATATCAGCAGGTCATGTGGCCCTGTCAGTACATACTGCCTTGGATTAAGATCTGGGTCAAGCTTACACTGAGACTTCCAAGATAATGTGGATACATCCACTGCAATGCAAACCCAAATTACCCCCCCCCCCCAAACACTGATTTTACTTTGGCATCTCTTGAAGCAAACTCTCTCTTTGGATATCATTTTCTCACTCTGACCAAATCCTGCACTTCAGGCCTGTTTATGTGTGACAATCACAGAGTGACATGTAGCATCATCATGCATGAGGCCGTGATGCTCTGGGATCATCACACACTGTCTTCAGCCTAGAAAGTAAGCATAGGGTCCAGGATATTAAGAACAAAAAATGAAAAGAGATGAGAGGGATGACAAATTGACAATGTTGCATTTCTAACACATAGAGAGGAATGCCAATGGACATGCTCACTGCCATTGGACATATTTGAGACTAGCACCATATACACTGGACATCAAGTGATGAAATGCTGCAGTGGTTGAGCTCGTTGTTACCCATAGTGAGCACGAAGGTTTTGGCAATGTCTGCTGTAACATGCTGACATAATTTTATATTATTGTGTGTGAATAATAAATACAGCAGACTATGAAAAATGTATGTGGCATGACAGCAAATTGAACCGTCACCAAAGATCCACCATACTTGTCAGACTCAATTTTCATTTAACTATTCAAAAGGTGTGGGTCGCACAGATGGAGAAGCACTGGAAAGAGGTTGGGCAAATATCAACCAGGTAGCTACAAGCACTAAAGAGATGGGTCCAGGCTCTTGTCGTGATACATTACAGTCATTGACCATCATTTGAGTTTTCACCATCATTTGCGTTTACCTTGTATGACACTTGAATTTGATACTATCCCATGTAACATTTTTGTTCTATCATACGAGTTATGTGCCTAACTACATATTGGCAGTAATGATAGGTATAAAAGACCTTGAACAAATGTGCGATGGTATGTTTTGTTGCGAAATTTTCACTATTAAGCATCCCTGAAAGCAAAACAACTAGAATCGGATTTGTAAATTGAAGAAATACCTGCAAACAACCTTCAAGCACATCACTGTTCTATTCCACAAGGGAGCTGATGAGTGTGTGTTGCCAGAATGTTGCCAGTGCAGAGTGTCTCAATAGTATCTTATCAGCGTCACCGAAGCAAAATAAGCAAGATCCGATAAACAGGAACATGATTATATAAGGAGGAGTTGAGGCAGTGGGAGGAAGAGCAAGCAAAGGCAAAGTTGGAGAGACAACACATGACACATGTCAAACTGAAGCTTGGGAGACTCGAGGCCACACTCCCAAAGCCGGCACTTGCCCACATTGATGAGGAAGAGGATGAGTCAGATGATAGCGAGGAAGAAGATTAATCTGCGTGACTAGGGAATAAATCTGCCTTTTTGGGTGAACTCAAATGATGATGAACATATGATAACACCAAGATTTACACACTTTTCATTGCAGAATAACGTCTTGTTTGATGTTCTTCAAAATTTTGTTCGAAGTAGATTAGCAATTTTTGAGATTGTGTCAGGTTGTGTTGTGGTAGACATCTGAAAATTTCGAACTCAAATGATGGTCAATGACTGTAGATGATAATTTTAGTGACTGGAACTGGAAGAAGGTCACAATGTTTGGTAAGCTTCAAAGTCTTCTGCTACTCAAAGCTCATTGACTCATGCTATGTCAGGTCGCACTCTCATATGTAAACTGAAGGATGCGGTGAAGGTGAATCAACTCAGCTCTAGGTCAAATGGTAAATGGAAGGGGAGGGACACAAGAAGCTGATATAGTGATCAGTGCGACACCTAGTCTGTTATGCTTGCAGGGACAAGCATATTTGATCCAAGGGGAAGCAAAGAAGACAAATCCACAGTTGCGCAGCGGCTGTGCGAAGCGAGCAATGTGTGTGCAAGGCGCAGGAATGCAAAATGCAAAATGCAATGAGCAATAAATGAGGGCTCAATGAAAACAAAAGACTGCTAATAAATTCTGAATCTGGCTATGGACATCATGAGGGAACTCCACTAAGGTAAGGAGTGGTGTAATGTGGTAAGGGTGAAAAATGCGGACCTATATATGTGTCTTGCTAAGTGAGCTGAGTGTGAGATAATGTATGTAATAAGGTATGTAAGTCAGGGTCCATGCTCTAATATGTTGCCATATTGAATAAAAGCGAAAATACATACCAGGGAGACTTGCTGGACAGTGGGTGGATGCTCCTGGATGATAGGGTGATGAAAGCGCGGGAAAGCGAGTGATGCACAAGCGTGAGAACATCGTGCGAGGGTCCCGCACACGGGAAAGTGTCACCCGATATGGAAATAGCTGGGAAAAGGCTAGGGAATGATGCTGCAAGTTGGTGCTGCGAACCCAGGTGGTATGCACTGAAGTATAACACGTTGCAGACCTGCAATAGTGCGAATCTCTACAGCGGTGATCTGCACCAAGTCCCATGGTGAAGAACTCACAGATCTTGAGTGCACTGTAGCGATGGTCATGGCGCTGGGCTCGGAACCACAGTTTTTCATACTCATGTGAACATCCAAAACATACGCGCACATGTCCGAGCCACTTCACATCAGACCTTCGGACATCGCATTGGCTGATCACACTTCGCACGCACTTGTCCATCCCGTGTCCTGTCCATCCAAACTAGCCTCACTAGGTGCGTAGTTATTCCCATGCATGTTTTCTGACATTTGGACCGCGTTATTACATGTCCGCAGCACCTCGTGTCTTATTACATAGGACATCGGACCCGAAATATATCGCTACTATCTTCACCTGTAGTATTCCAAATTTCTATGTACTTACTTAAAAATACTCTGTAGTGACCCGTAGCAATCATCATCCAGTAGTTAGGAGCAGTTTCCCAACTCTGCAGATCACCCAGAATATTCTCTTAGTTCTTAGTTGCATTGCGAAATATTACCATTTGTTCACCGTCATACTCCGTCACTCGTTATACTCGCACATACTGCTCGCAATCCGACACTCATTATAAAGTTTCCGACCTATTATCGTGAAGTCCGAAAGTCTGAAATCTCAGACATCACACTTTGGCTTCAGGACATTGGATAAGTACCTTCAGACATCATCAGATTACCTTCGGACATCGTTTCGTAGCATCAGACATTCTGTTCTTTGCATTACTGATGCATTTTTACTACTAATACCAGTTAGCAATCCTTTTAGGATCAAACGCACTTGCTCTGCAAGTATAGCAGCATAGGTCATGCTAAGATCTACCTAAACATTGTTGACTAGGTAGTACAATTTCTGCTGAGCCCAGCAGAGATTTACTCTTTACAGTGCTATCAATGAGATTCATCTCACCACCTGAACATCTGAAGTAGAGGCCTGGGAGAAGGATAATTCACAGCCTAATCCATTTGAAAGTTGTGTCACACATAAGTGTCATATTTGGAATGTTTCATTTCTGTCCTGATTTTATTCAAGCAATGACACAGACTGTGGTCCAACTGCAGCTTGCTAAGAATGAGGCTCACAACTTAGAGGGTGGTATCAACACTTCTTTGCATGATGAAATATCACCATTTCAGCTTATTTCCTTTGGATTAGACTTGGAAGATCAACAGTGCGGCAGTTTATTGATTGCAGCCTCTTCTGCTTTGCTTACCCTCCTCTAGGTGTTGGTTTCATGCAGATACTGCTGCTCTTGGGGTTCATGCTACAGAAACCCAAAGAGCCAATTTGTGCATATGAGGCAATGCACTAAGGCGCAAGATCGAGGCATGGATAGCAGTTCAAGCCCTTTATATGCCTGCTGTTGTCCTCACTCCATGCAGTAGATCTATCAGCAGATTCAACCCCAGTTGCAGATAGTGATAAGCCTGAGAATCTTGCTCTGTGACTGCCATTGGCAGTGCCACCTGCATATCAATGCAACCATATCCTTCAGGTGTTGGAATGAGATCTGAGATTTGCTCAGGCAAACAATACCTTGAACAAAGTATGCCAGACTATACAACTCTCCTCCCACCTCAAGACATTCAAGTGCACCCATATACATGGCCAATGGGCATCAACACATGCTCATAGCATGTTGGATCTGGCAGAAATAAAGAAGATGGCAAGCAAACTCAAGTACAACAATGTGCATTCAGCACTCCTCACTCTTGGACCATTGCTAGGCAAGGTGGCTTGGGAGGAGAGTTTACGTGTATTGCATGTCACAGACATGCGCCCATTGGGTGATATTGCTCCTGGTCAGTCGGAAGGCATGCAAGATATTTCCTAAATCTGGAAGGCACCAGGCACCAGGCACAACAACGATGCTGGCCTTTGAGACTGTATACCATCATCTCATTTTATTTTCTCTAACTCACACCATCATTAAGGCCTGCTCATTGAGTGGTACAAGGCACTGAGCACATGCGGCTTGCTGGTCAGAGGAGGTATTATTGCTTCTTGAAGAAATGTGCAGGGTAATTGGGTTCTTCTGGTGGCAGTCATGCTGGTGAAAAGAACGAGGAGCTGCAGTTGTTATTTCCAGTTCAGCCTACTATCAGGAGGAAGCTCTTGCCTATGCAGAATGACAAGCATGCCTACAGTTGATGATGGCTAACCACTACCAACAACTTTGGACCTGACATTCTAAAGATAGTAGTGTTTCAGCTTCTTCCAGGCGACTACGATGGGCATGACAACAATAATGTACCTACTGATATATATATTGATGGCCCTCCGCCCGATGAAATCGCAAACTGATGGTATTGTGTTCCAGCCTACTTCTGGCCTTCTCAAAGATGAATCCAAAGCTGGTAAACCAGTGGTATAGAAACGCTCAAGGTACGAGGCCGGACCTTGGTATAATACTTACATGGTGATATATTGTTGCAGCCTTTCACAGGATTGATATATCATTGCAGGACCGATGTATCATTGCAGTGTTGGTGCTATATGCCCAAGGTTGATGGACTGTCCCACTTATGTATCAGTATTCTTGCAACAGTGTCATATTTAATACATCATAATGACAGTATGTGGTGATCATGTTGCCCCAAAATTAAAAGTGTGATCCCAACAAAGTGTATTTTATCATCATCAAGCTCATTTCCACCCAGGCTTACAAGAAACAAGTCAATTAAAAGGATTGTAGTGAGAGATAGTTACTATGTACAATTACCAGAATATGAACAGATATAATAAAGTTGGTGTAAAAGGAATATAATCAGTACTATCAATCGGTAATAGGTATCCTTCAAGTCGAATGACATATGTGCAAAAAAATCTAGAAATTGAATAGATGATTCCCTTCCCATGGGTTGTCAATGCTGGGATTGAGAACAAAAGATCCAGAGGCCTGCAAGGTCAAGGGGTTATCAAGATTGGGATCAATAGCAAAAGACCCGGAGGCCTGCAATGGAGATGTCAAGACAGAATCCAAAGGGGTGAGGTCAGCCTCTACAGGTATCTCTGGCTCAGTAGTAACAACATCATGATTATCTAAATTGAAAGAATCAAAGAAGTCACCAGTGTATTCATCGTCACTTGCAGTCAAGTCCACTATAGTGGCCAATTCAGATATGGTTTCAGGGTCTGATGTAGACAGGATCTCATTGTTAGTTTCTGCCAATACTGATCACAAAAGTTTAACATGAGCCTCGCTCACAATCAACAAAAAATTACATACCTCGACAATATTTGATCTTATGAGGGGGCTCTGATGAGCTCGACTCAGATGAGGCTGAGCTGTCTTCTGAGTCACTGGACATACTCAGACTCGGTATAATCATTGTATGCTAAACAAGCTGAAAGAGTGGCCTTCTCCTTTCCTTTCGATTTTGCTCACCCTTGCAGCACTTGCAGTGGGATGCTTTGGCGAGTGACTACGAAAGCAAGAATTAGCATAGCCTGTGTGAAGAAAGAGAACTGAGGACTGACCTAGAATAACTACATTTTCCCAAAGTCTACCTCTTGTATTCATCTTTGCATTTCGTGCCACTGCTGACCCATCAGGGAATTGAATACCAGGAGGAATTATGATCTTGCGCTTCTCTTTGATACAAAGATAGTATTGAGGCAGATATTGAAAGATCTCATCCTGGTCCTCCTCATAATCTGGATTTGTCATTTTTGGCAAGGCATTGAGATAAAGAAAGAGTGAGCCCATTCAGTCACATAGTCTGTATAATACAGGCAGCCAAGGTTGAAATTATGCTGTTCCATACAGGCTAGTGGACATTGGCCGATCGAACATACTTATCCATATCTAACGCTCAGCCGTCTGTATTACTGACAGACAAGATTAACAGATGGGCCAATACTCGATGTAGAGACTCGCGTCTCCACAGACACTTCCCTCGAATTCTTCCACTTCCCTCACACACTCCAGCTCTAATCCAAAGGATATGTCTTGTGCAGTAGCGCACTATATTTCATTTTGCAGATTCCGTGCACAGCCACTTGCACCTCGCATGCACTGCATGTCTGCCTTTGCAGATTCCGCATACCCATCCGCCCATCCTCCCCATGTCCTTAGATGTTCATTGGTGCATTCTCCCACTATATTCCCATTTTGACTAATTGTTTTCCATCACTAATACTTGGCTTAGCACTATGCACACAGCTGAGACCCTATTACCTACTTCACATACTATATTTAGCTTACTCGGCTCGCTACATCGGACCTGTGTGCCTAGCAGCACTTAGCTATCTTACATATACCATCCCTCTACTCTATTTTCTGGGTTGATTTTCCGCCCACTTTCTTTGTGTCCTTAGATACTAGGAATTTTACTCATTGTTTGCAAGTGACTATCTAAAGTCGTGTGCTTTGGTTATTTGCCTTTGTCTTAGCATCAGCCAACCTTAGTTGGGGTGTTAACACTCATCTTGCCTTGTCTCTCTTTCATCTCTCTTGCTCGCAAGTCTTTCGCCTTTCGCACTTGCATGTCATCGTGCGCATCTGCCTTTCGCTCATCGCATCATTCTAGCCTTGCGCTTCATGCATTCCTTAGTCTTAGTACCTTATTAGTTGTTTGGTGTCCCTCTTTTTACAAAGAGAGGTTTCCCTTTACCAGTTAGCTACCCTTGGGTTGACGTTTTCACTCACGCCTGGGACTAGCTTAGCACCAACTTACATTCAGATGGCCGATTGTGGCAGATGTCTGATGCTATTGGATTGGTTGATAGAATCCTTTGATGCAATCAGGTTGGCTGACGAACTGAATGCTTTATACTATCAGGTGGGCCAGTGCAGCATTAATGTCCTGCACACATCGGCCGGCCAATGTCAGCTCAGTACATTGGTCATTGATTTTTAAACAACTTTCAAAATTCAACTGAAAACTCATTACAAATGCATCTAAACCTTCATAACAATATCTGCTCTAATCTACCATAAAGAAGCCCGATAAGCTGAAATGAAGACATGCTGATCAATGTCCATGTATGTAGCATACTGTGGCCAAGGTGTCCCCACAAAATTGTGAAGGCTATCATTAGTGTTGTGGGCAGAAGTCCGCCATTCTGCCAACTGGTTCTGCCAAACTGGTTCTGCCCGGCAGATGGCAGAATTCTGCGGGCAGAATCCGGCAGAATGTCAAACTACTGAGACGGACATCCTCTGAAGGTACTTGCAATCACCCTCTTATCCATTGTTCCACACGCTGCTGACATCGAACACCTCTTCTCGGATGTGGGTAGCACTCAGTCTCCGAAGCGCTGCAATCTCTCGGTAGACACATTTGAAGCACTGGCAAAAATTTGAGCAATTTTTTGCTACAACAGTCATCAGAAGGCTGTGGTTGATGGCAAGTCAATTTGCTGATGCCACACACACATGCACACCAATGCCCAGCCAGGAATCAACATTGATGTAGCTGCTGACCTCAAAGCTAATTTTGCATGGGCACCACTCACACCTCAAACTCAGAACGTTGATGATGATCTTGCAGGTCCTGAATCCATATCACTTGACGAGATCAACACTGCATTTGCGCTACTGGAACACGACGCCATGGAACAAGAGCTGGTTGACAGAAATGAAGTGTTGGAGGGCTGAGTTTATGATTTCGTGGAATTGGAGCATGTTGACCAAGGTCTTGCACCAAAATCTGTTGACAACAAGATCATATTAGTTGATCACACCTCACACAACGATGGACAGTGGGATGTGGACGTGCTGATGTCTTCCAATGGTGTTTCCTAGTGATATTGTCATAAACATAGCCTTGTAGCGCTTTGAAAATTCTGCCGCTTCTGCTGGTTATGCCAGCACAATTACTTGCAAGCAATTCTGCCCCCAGCACTAGCTATCATGCATGAACCAGGCCCAAACAATATGATCTCTGCTGAATGTGACACAATGCCTGACAATGTGTCCAGAGCAGCTAACAATTGCACCCATATTAAATCGCAGTTGAAGACCGAGGTTGGAGAGGATCATAAGCCCATTGCAGTAATGACTGACACTAGTCATGACATTGAACCCTTCTTGAGCTGATCTTGGATCTCAGTAATGTTACAAGAACATCTAGACGCTTGGGCCCCTACTATTTTTCTCCTTATCCTCCTCGTCTCCGCCCTTGCATCACACCCTTACCCTGACCTTGCTCTTGTTATCCTCGTCATCCTCGCATTCCCCTTCACCCTCTACCTGTCACTCCAGCAGAGCCAGTATATTTGGCCAGACCCTTTCTCTGATGAAGCATACCCATGCTCTGTTCCATCTGTTGACTGATCCTGTGGACAGTCCCCTTTACCCTTACTGTCTGGACGGTAACCTATGGTACGATGCACGCAGCATCCCCTTTGCCCTGTTTCCTTTCTTGATCTATGACTTGGTGCGCAGTGGCATGTTGTACTTATACTTAGCCCCGCAGTTGCACGATCGTGCCCCTGCTTATTTCACTTCTTATTTTGGTTCTTTGACTCATTTCCTATCTGCATGTTCTGGTTCACCTATGACTCACCTCGAATGTGCCTTCCTTTTCTAGTATCACCCTTTGACCAGTTCATTATCTGGTAGTATGAGTTATCACCCACTAATATGCTTCCTCTCCTCTATATAAACTCACTACCATGTATCTAGCTCCTTAACTTGAATCTACTTGGTTCTTGACCTCCTACTCCTAACAAGAGTGATTCCTTCAGCCTAGCCAGCTGTCTATATTCTACTTTCTTATCTGCTCATCGCGGATAAGTCTCTAGTCTCGATCTTTACTCATCAACTTCATCGTTGAGCAAAGCCCCTGTTATTAGTCGGATTTCTGTCCTTCTATTAATGCAGATCTTATGATTAACCTTCGGGTCTTGTAAGCCTTGGCAGATATGCTTATCGTTAAGCCCTGCTTAACATAAGCTACCCAATTCGGACATAGGCGTTAAATCTTACTTGCCGAAGCTTCGCCAAGTAAGACCCCTAACCTTGGGCTAGCACAAGGACGTCCTCGATCATTGACAACACACACTCTGTTTGAGCATCGCCAACAGATACTATCCAATTCTGTAACAGGTAAAGCGGACATTGTCTATTGCAAATGACAGATGCACAATTGAACACCGAGGTCCACAGTTTTAGACAGGTATACATATTCTTGAGGCGATGTTCCATCACCTATTGAGCAAGTTTCATGTGTGTGATGACCAAAGCCCAATATAAATTCAGATGCATCACCTGAAGAGCAGCTGAGGCCAGGAGTGCTGCATGCTGCATGGATGTTATTACAGCAGGACCACCTTCACCCTTCAGAGTGGCTAAGACCTTGGGGGCAAATTCACCAGAGGGTGGAAACCCATATGGCTGGAACATAAAACACTGGAGGCATTAGCTTTCTGATGATGTTGACCAACTGGCTGACTGATAAGGCACTTACTTCTGTCTCCCATTACATGTGCCAAACAAAATTAGCTTTGTAAGCTGGTATCTGTGACCTGTGGCTTTGGTCGCATACCAACCAGATCACAGCGAATCGAGAAGTAGCAAACTCAAAGACATTTGCTGCAGTCTCAAATTGTAAATTCACTGATTTGATATGTATCAGCTGTTGAGGAGTCTGACATGGGTAAAGGGAGGACAAGTTCAAAATTTAATCAATGTGGATGCATTTATATATGAATCGGGCATTGGTCACTAATCCACTGTGGCAATTCCTCCCGTCCTAATGCAGATATGGTTTTGTGGACCCCTGTCACTTCATCCCCCCAGCCATACATTTTGTTCTTTCAAAGCTGTTTTGTGCTTGCTGTGATAGTTGGACGTAAATTTGAGCCTGGCGAGTTGCATGGCAACGATGGCTGGCCATGTCATTTGCATTGGCCTTCTGTATTTGGCGGATCCATTGTTGAGATTTGTATGTGAGAAAGTTGACTGTCCATGCCATTTCCAGACCAACCAGCAGCAATTCCTCTGCCCAACGATCATGCAGTGCCAATGTCCTCAGTCAATGGACATGGTCAACTGTAAAGTAAAGACATTAGCACCACAGTTACGGCAAAGTGCACACATTCATTCATCCAGTCACTGCTTGTGGAATCTCCCTGAACATTGATGGACCAAAACCACACTAATGTGTTATTGCATTGACCGCATGCGTTCGGGTCAGCCATGACCATGGTAGCTTTTAGATCGGCTTTTCCAACGGCCAATACTTGCTCAATAGGTTATCAGCCCCAAGATGCATGAGCTGCATGCAACATTTTGAGTAGATCTGTGTGTTTAGGTGAATGATTCTATCAAGCGAGTGCACCTGAGCCCATGTCCTGGTCGACCTGAGCTTGTGATTTTGCTGAGCGCACTGTGGTGCAGAAGAGAACAGCCTTATATTGGCTAAGTTCACCCTAATAACATGCAATGCATCATTTGCTTGACCTTCTCTCAATGATATCTTTTGCAGAACAAGGTTGGTGACACCCCACTTGGCACACTTCTCAATACAAATGTTGGACAGTAATGAAATCACCACAGTCTTGGGATTGAACTCAACTGGTATCTCATATCAGTCTTCATCATCTGGCCCATCAGAATTGTCGGACAATGTTGCCACAGAATCCTGGTCTGTGGAATCCAACATCATGGTCATGTCGTCCAACCAGTCATAGCCGTCAAATTCATCACCAGGAAATGTGACTGCCAGCCTAATAAATTGGTCAAGTTGGCCTTGTAATTTGTCTTGGTGTCAAGCTACAGCTAGCTTCTGGGTATCAGTCGGTTGCTTTCCGAGGTTCTTCACATCAATCAGGAGTGTCACTTGGGCCTCCTCAAGTGTAATTCTGGAAGCCAGCCAAGTTGCAGCACTGCGGTGAATGTCTCCAGCAGGCCATTGTGCCTGATGGTTCAAAAGGTGCAACTCTTGCTGTTTTCTTGTCAGTGCTTTTCCAGGCATCCACATCAGCATATTGGAACAAGACATTCAATTGCACAGACCTTTTCTCAATTGAACTTCATATATGTTCATGGAGCTGGGATTATGGAGTCAGTCATCTTGAGCTGCAGCAGCCTCTGCTCTCCATTTCAAAAGCATGTCATCATTGGTGGTCTCACTCAACCGGTTGAATGCATATTGGCTGTCTTTGACTCCCTGCACTGCCTCCTTGAATTTGCCTAAATGCATGTTGATTTTTCCACTCTGTAAAACAATATAACTTACTGATGCATATCATTTTCATAAAATTGCAATCGTTCATTTGAAAATCCAAACACTCCTTTCGGTAGGGGGTCGACATCCCTCTCGCCGACAGTGATATGATGTTCAAGGGTGCCCACAGGGTCTCCATGATTTTGCTGTCAATCCTGGCAACACCAGTGATGAAGTTGGATGTGTACCATACATAGCATTTATCTTGATGGTTATGGACATGCCAAAGCACAATGTAAAGAGTAAATCTCTGCTGGGCTCAGCAGAAATTGTACTACCTAGTCAACAATGTTTAGGTAGATCTTAGCACGACCTATGCTGCTATACTTGCAGAGCAAGTGCGTTTGATCCTAAAAGGATTGCTAATTGGTATTAGTAGTAAAAATGCATCAGTAATGCAAAGAACAGAATGTCTGATGCTACGAAACGATGTCCGAAGGTAATCTGATGATGTCTGAAGGTACTTATCCAATGTCTGAAGCCAAAGTGTGATGTCTGAGATTTCAGACTTTTGGACTTCACGATAATAGGTCGGAAACTTTATAATGAGTGTCGGATTGCGAGTAGTATGTGCGAGTATAACGAGTGACGGAGTATGAGGGTGAACGAATGGTAATATTTCGCAATGCAACTAAGAACTAAGAGAATATTCTGGGTGATCCGCAGAGTTGGGAAACTGCTCCTAACTACTGGATGATGATTGCTATGGGTCACTACAGAGTATTTTTAAGTAAGTACATAGAAATTTGGAATACTACAGGTGAAGATAGTAGCGATATATTTCGGGTCCGATGTCCTATGTAATAAGACACGAGGTGCTGCGGACATGTAATAACGCGGTCCAAATGTCAGAAAACATGCATGGGAATAACTACGCACCTAGTGAGGCTAGTTTGGATAGACAGGACACGGGATGGACAAGTGCGTGCGAAGTGTGATCAGCCGATGCGATGTCCGAAGGTCTGATGTGGAGTGGCTCGGACATGTGCGAAAGTGTGTCGGACATGTGTGCGTATGTTTTGGATGTTCACATGAGTATGAAAAATCGTGGTTCCAAGCCCAGCACTGCAACCATCACTCCACCAATGCCAGGAATTATGTCCATGCCCCATGGAAGGTCGAGATATGGTGATTGCTCAACCCGCTGGTTGAGATGTTTGTAGTATTGACAATTAATGTCATAGAATGTCAATGCCCAATCAATCCCATCAGTGTTATATTTCAGAGCTTGGCACAGCGCATAATCCATGTTCATCTGCCTTTTGCCAACCGACACATCAGTTCAACATTGACCAATTTTAGATTTGGGACTATCAGCAAACCTTTCCCCCTTCTGAAAGTCCACCATTAAATGTGGTACAAAAACCTGTGTCTCGTGCACACCCACCCACCTATCCCCATTGCCTCCAGTTTGTGGCGGGAGGCATTTGCCTGGTTAACCGCTCAGTGGTTGCTGCAATCTGACCTTTGTACAATGTCCTGTGCCTCGGCAAGATGCATTTTGTATTGGGCATTGCCGACCATAAAGCCCAAGCCATCGGTCAATGCCACTTCATCAGTGGGATTTGCTGGATACAAGTGCTCGGCCTTGAAATTACCATCCATGACCAAAGATCTGGAGTACAGCCATGCAGGGTCGGTGTAGAGCCTTGCATCCCCACAGGCACTTCCCTCTGAATTCTCCCACTTTCCCTACAAACTCCAGCTCTAATCCACAGGATATGTCTAGCGCATTAGTGCACTTATATTTTACTTTGCAGATTCTGCATGCAGCCACTTGCACCGCACGTCCGCCTTCGCATCATCCGCATAACCATCCATCTGTCCTCCCCATGTCCTTAGATGTTCATTGATGTGTTTTCACACTATATTCCAATTTTGACTCATTATTTCCATGGCTAAATACTCGGCTGCGCGCTACACGCGCAGCCGAGACCCTGTTACCTATTTTGCATACTATATTTAGCTTGTTTGGTTTATCACATTGGACCTGTATGCCTAGCAGCACTTAGCTACTTTACTTATACCCCTCTATTATTTATGTACTGGGCCGATTTTTCCGCCCACTTTCTCTGTGTCCTTAGATACAAGTAATTTTACTCATTGTTTGCAAGTGACTATCTAAAGTCGCGTGCTTCGGTCATCCACCTTCGCATTAGCATCAGCTTAGTTGGGGTGTTAACACTCATTTCACCTCATAACTCTCTAGTCTTGTTCACTTGTTTGCCTTTCGCCTTCACTCACGTGCGCTACCTTCGCATCGCACACCTCGCCCTTTGCCTTTCACACTTGTGTGTCTGCCTTTCGCACATCACATCTCTCTCGCCTTGCACTTCACGTGTCTATTAGACTTCATACTTTATTTGTTGTTTGGTTTCCCTTTACCAGTTAGCTGCCCTTGGGTTGATGTTTTCACTCGCACCCAGGACTAGCTGTGTTTGCTTAGCTTAGCACCAACTTACCACACAGTTTAGATTTCTCATCCTCATCAGACCCATTCTTGTCTGACAAATTGACATTTACCCCAGGCTGAGGACATGCAGGACGAAAGAGCATGAGCTCCCCTGCCTTTGGCTTTCTTTTCTCATGGTTGAACCGCTGCTTCACTTGTCTCCACTGCCTCCCCACCCTCATCAATTCTCTGTATCGGTCCTTTTGGCAATTGTAAGCAATGCAATGGAAAACATCAATGTCACCTACTGGAACCAGATGAGGAAACACGCTGGAAGTAATTCACCTTAATTTACTGTAATAGTTCATTGCTGAAGTCCCGCATTCTAGGTTGTCTAACAAGAAGTCATCCAGCACCGCAAATGTGAGTGCTGTCTTCAGTGAAGTGAAAGATGCAGGGAATAGGCCTGTTTGGAATAGTTGCATGTCAGGAGTCAGTGCATCAGTGCACCGACAGAATCTTATCATCAGGGAGTGCAGCCCCGATGTATCCACCACTGTGGTCATCCGAGGATCATTGACAAAAGGCACCCTAGGCCTTCAGTCGCATGGTCTCCTTCATCATCAGTGTCACACCACTCATCCGTCAATGTGGGGCAAGGCTTTCCCTCATGACCGAGGTGAATTTCCAGCCTGATCTTGGTCAAGGAAGTCTCTTTGAAGAACCCCCCAGTCCATTGACTGATTCGATGGAAAGGGATGCAACTATGAACCATCCGACAGCAATGAGTGCAGAAGAGCGGCTCACCCTTACAGCCATGACATTTGTAAACTCCATCCTTTGGACAGACAGAGCAAGTCCTGCTGGAAGGTGGGCCATCTCACTGAAGGAGCAAGTCTAAGTAGTCCTCGGTCTTGGCCTTCTACTCATATAGATAGTCATTTTGACTCTTGATACTAGGTTTCAGTAGATGGGACAAGGCAAGTAAATGATGAGCTTGTCATGGACTTGCAAAGCCGACAAGGCTCACTAAGGTTATAGTGGTCATGGTCACCCTCCACGCGAAGTCCTCTGGTGGAACCTTGCTTGGTAGGCAATTTTCTAGGGGATGAATGAACTGATGTTGTTCCATTGTAACATTGAGCTATGACAAATTGTCCTGTATCTCCTCTGGATGTTCTTTTGGCCTCTCATCAAACCAAAGAGGATGTCTTTGGAGAACTTCAGACTTTTGGCTTTGACTTGACCATGTATCAATGTTGTGTTGCGACTGTCTGGATGTCACGGTGTTGTTTGGAATACTATGCTTAGGCTTTGAGATAGTTTGGTGCTTGAATGCAACTGCCAAATGCAATGCATTGTATGTAATAGTTTATAGTCACTTTAGCAGGGAAATTCATATAGCAATGATGGTTAATGAGGATTGTATGTATGATATATCACAAGCTCTTCAGGGACCCCTGATTTTACTCAACACAATCATGCATCTATACCATTTGGCACTCAATGAATCTTGTAGCAGAGGCTCACTATTCAGCACCATCTAGCCCTTACATGCACTTATGACATGGATATGTAACTCGTGTGAAATGTTGCTTGTGCAACCTTTCCTTCTATTTTTTTTGTTCCATCAACCATATCTACACTCTTACACTCACCTTTTTAGGTCCTTTACTCCTAGACACCTACTGTGATATGACTTGAACAAAGATTAATACAGGAGATCAGCCCCAGCTGAATGACTGAGAGACCACCGCTCTGCAGTCCCATGTTGAGGATTGGGAGAAGGCTAGTGGGATAGAGTGAAGACACATATTTAAAGTGGCCGCCAGAGAGGCCAAAATGTTTGCTCCAAAGATGGACAAAGAGCTCTTGAAGCAACAAAAGGAGATAAGTGTTTCAGGTTTGATGTCAGACCATGCTGCATTACATTCACCTGGGCAGAAATACAAACAGAGACCAGGGGTACTAGAGATGCATTGCCAGTCATTCATCACTGGGCAACAAATAAGACAGGGCAGGACAGAGATGCATTGCCAGTTGTTCAAGATTGGGCTTCGAAGAAGACCAGGCACAATGGAGATGTATTGCCGGTGGTTTAAGACCAGGTGCCAAAGAAGACTGGGCGTACAAGAGATGCATCGCTGGTAGTTCAAGACCTGGTGCCAAAGAAGACTGGGCGTACAAGAGATGCATCGCTGGTAGTTCAAGACCGGGTGCCAAAGAAGACCGAGCATACAAAAAATACATTGCCAGTGGTTCAAGACTGGTCACTGATAAAGACAAAGGCAAGGAGACCTGTGGCTGGCTGTGTTACTGATGTACCAGCAAAGGGCACCAGAAGCAATGATGCCAATGCACTGGGCACCAGAATTCGGCAAAAGCCAAAGAAATATACTGACTATGTGTGGTTGATGATCATGCATGATTACAGTATTACAAGCTACATAGTCTGAAATGTAGATGATATACAATTCATAGCTACTTGCTCTTCTGTACCTCTACACTACTCACTAGAGGATTGTCTTTTGCTCATTCTACTTACTGCTAGCTCCAATACCACAAGTGGATCATCAATCTGCCTGAACATTTGCATTAGATGTTCAATCTTGGCAACATCTTTGCTGGCTGTGATAAATCGGTCACACGCATGTTTATATTTGCCAATCAATCCACTGTTGGCATGTAAAATTTCAACAGATGCCTCTCCTAGGTCATCCCCTGTCCAACAGTGGTCAATGTCATCATGCTCATAATGAGATAAATATGCACTTACCCATCAAAACATTGATATGTTCAAGCTTGATGGTGGCTTGGCGTCACAATTCAGTTTGGCCTCGCTCAGCAATAGAGATACCGGTGATTCCAAAGCTTCAGTGGAGGTATTCTGGCACTTTGCTTTACTGTTAGTTTCTGTGCTAAATGTTCAGTCCCAGTTAAGAAACATGTATTCTTGACCTACCTTGATTGCCTGAGTCAAGAGTTCGCACAGTTGTAAGACCATCCATACCACCATGTCCACCTGATGGCAAATCTCCCCAACACATGTCAAAATCACCTGGAAATCATAAGTCTTGATCGCCAGCAAACATTTCCAATCATTACCTTTGTAATCTGCTGCTGATGCAGATGGTCAGTCATCCCAACACAAGTCATATTAACTTTTTGTAGAGGGTACCATGACATCGATGGTTTCGACAGTTGTAGGCTCTGGTATCGCAGCCGACTCCACTGCTGTAACTTGGTCAGTCATCCCAATACAGGTTGTATTGACTTTGGCCAGGGTAAATGCTGGCGTCCCAGCACATGTCGTATACTAATGAGTAGATCAGATATGGGCAATGGTATGGCAGTGCTGGACTCACTATAATTACCGACTTTTCATTCGGCTGATGGTGTTGCAGTTGGTGGTGCTTCTACCATTAGCACCTGATCGTTCTGGACATCCCAGTATATGTCAAATACTGACATGTTCAACTATTAGGCAAGATCTTGTAAATAAAAATCTTACATTCATGGTCAAACTCTTTCTTGGCAGGTCCATTATTGAATTTGTCGCTGGATGGCATGGTTGAAGGCATGGATATCTTCCAAGTATTTTTGATCAGTTGTAGTTTGTAGATGGGAATTGTATAGAAAATTACAGGAATCCTGGTCTTTTGAAGTGATGGAGTCAGCCACAACTTTGGTGGCACCCACTGGTCCCACATGAGAAAAAAATTCTGGTCAGCTTTGATGTGCTTGTCCTGTATGCTTCAAGCTTTGTCAATTGAATTCTTGTGGGAACCCGTATTGTTTGCAATGGCCTTTGATAATTCTGTCCAGGGAGTGGGAATATGGGGGCATTGAGTGGATCATAATGCAAAACTGAACAACTATAGCCACAGCTCAGCTGATTCTGGCAGTGTTAGCAATGTCAACATTCCAGCGAATGCCAGCAGTGTGAATTGTGGCATCAACATTGTCATTGAATTTTTCAAGTTCGATCCACATCCACACAAAGTTATTCGTTATATAACTAAGTCAATGCTCACCTGCTCATTTCCAATCTTTCCAATACCTCCCCAATGCCCACCCAACATGAATCTGACACTGCTTTAGAACTCGCCGACCAGTCTTTGCACAGTTTGGTTGGCTGAGTCATGCATTTGGAAGCAGATGACCGGGTAGTTGTTGATGAGGGTCATGAGATTGCGTGGCTAGTGGTATGTTCTTTTTTCATCTTAATTGTTCTAATATGTTTATCTTTCAAAGTCTCAAGCACTCTAGCAGCATGGCAGGATGGCCTCGGACATTTCACCATTACTTCTATCTGCAGCCACCGAGGTCCAAGCGACCATGAACTAAGGACTTGCTCCGCAGTGGGACCATGTGCGAGACAATGATGTTCACATGAATCTTCATCCTTTCTTCCCAAAGATGGTCGGATATAGTGAGTAAGTACATATTACATGTTGTTACGACTTGGATGGTATCTGTTGGCGATGCTCAAACAGAGCATGTGTCGTCAACGGTCGAGGACGTCCTTGGGCTAGCCCAAGGTTAGGGGTCTTACTTGGCGAGGCTTTGGCAAGTAAGATTTGACGCCTATGTCCAAATCAGGTAGCTTATGTCAAGCGGGTGCTAGACGATGAGCTGTATCTGCCAAGGCTTACGACACCCGAAGGTTAATCGTAAGATTGTCGTTAATTAGAAGGACGGAAGTCCGACTAGTTAACAGGGGCTTTGCTCGTCGACGAAGTCGATGAGTAAAGATTGAGACTAAGGACTTATCCGCGAAGAGCAGATAAGAAGATAGAATATAGACTGCTGGCTAGGCAGAAAGGATCACTCTGGTGAGAGTAGGAGGTCAAGAACCAAGTAGATTCAAGTTAGGGAATATGTTACATGGTAGCAAGTTTATATAGAGGACAGGGAGCGTATTAGTGGATGATAACTCGTACTACCAAGAGAAGTAAACGGTAAAGGGCATAACCATAAAAGGAAGGCACGTTCAAGGTGAGACACGGGTGAATCCTGAATGTGCAGATAAGAAAGTAAGTCAAAGATCAGAATAAGAAGTGAAACGCGCAGGGGCACGATCGTGCAACTGCGGAGCTAAATATAAGTAGCATGTGTGACTGCGCACTGAGTCATAGATCAAGAAAGGGAAAAAGGTAAAGGGGATGTGTCGTGCATCATATCATAGGTTACCGTCCTGACGGTAAGAGCAGAGGGACTGTCCACAGGATCAGTCAGGTGGTGGAACGGAGCATGGATATGCTTCGTCAGCGAATGGATCCGGCCAGATGTACTGGCTCTGCTGAAGCGACAGGTAGAGAGCGAAAGGGAATGTGAGGATGACAAGGATGACAAAGGTAAGGTCGGGGTAAGGGTATGATGCGAGGGCTGATACGAGGAGGATTAGGAGAAAAATGGTAGGGGCCCAAGCGTCTAGATGTTCTTGTAACACATGTCATTATTACTGAACATTTTCACAGCACAATTAGAGCCTGCTCCTGCTCCTGCTCCTGCTCCTGCTCCTGCTCCTGCTCCTGCTCCTGCTCCTGCTCCTGCTCCTGCTCCTGCTCCTGCTCCTGCTCCTGCTCCTGAACCTAAACATGTACCAGCACCAGTATCTCCCAAAGTAATGTTGGTTCTGCCAATCAATACACTTGCTGGCCGGATGACCAACAAGGGCAAATGGCCTGACCACAGATCTCACAGATTAAGAGAAGATGACTCAGATGCTGAGACCAGCAGGAAGAAATGCAAGGTTCTCAAGTGAATCTCCAAAGCCATTATCTCCGATATGGAGAATGAGGATGATCAACCAACAGGGACCATTGTGATTAGACAGGTGCGTCTTGCCTTTATCATCTTCAACTCACCACTCACATTCACTTAGCCAACTAGGATGGGTGCATCTTTGCCCGCAGTGCCAACAAAGTCCAAGGTAAGTATGATGGCGACATTAGCCAATCTTATTGCTAACTTTTTGTCAGGATGCAACCAAAGAGGTAAAACAGGTGAGATTTACCTTAGATGTCTTTGATAAACACTCAACTAGCTTCAGGTGGAAGTGAGGACTAAGATTGGCCGAGTGCAGCCAAAGACGAAAGGAAAGGGAAAGGAGAAGGTCAAGAAAATTACCAAGCCAGAACAGGTGTGTTTGGGCAACTTCATTTCAGTGACCAATTACTTACCATCTCATAGTACATACCTGGCTGTCAGAGATGTGACAGCAAGCCTTGTTTGGTTGTCATTGGATGCAAGGGGCAGGTAATCAAGTCCTGCTTCAAGTGCCACATCATGAAGGTCCAATGTGACTGACCAGAATCGGTTGATGATGTTGGTCCTGCATCAACTCGTCAGATGCCAAAGTCACATCCCTAGGCCAAAAAGCCCATCTCTATAACCACCAGAGCAGCCATGCATCAGTTTCAACCAACACTGATCTTGGTGTCTGAGGATGCTATGGATGATACTGGTCAGTAAGTTTCTGGTTCATGATGACAATATTTAGACCTATCTTTCTTTCAGATCAGGTTGTCCAAGGTAATGATGACACTGATATGCCCGATGTCACTGACCTCCAGCAGGAGACTGATATCGCTACCAAGATGGTGATTGAGCCTGAGGTGAAGGATCAACACACAGCAGGCCAGTCTGGAGCTATTGCTTTGGTTGATGACTTTCCAGCTGACCATTGGCAGGAGGAAACCAATGTCATCCCCTTGCCCATTTATCCAGCAATGCCTGCCACTGATCGCCCTTCTTCAACACCTGCACCATCCAACACTCATGAACATGTCCTTGCCCTTGCTGCTCAGGTCACTGCCATGGAAATGGCCAACCGGAATGCTGTTGCCAGGGTCAATGCGATGGAACAGGACTTCAACTCACGTATCTCCTCCATGCGTCTCAAACTTTTGGTGATGCAGCTCAATGTCAGCACCACGGTAACATTGGTCAATGGACTTGTCAGCATGGTAGAGAAGCTTCGGCAGAAGTCATTCCAAATCCATTGTTCCAACCACCGACAATGAGCTATGGCAATAGTTCCTCTGCCACAGTATTTGGCATGAGGTACTTGAACAGTATTTTTGGCCCTTTGGTTCCTCCCATCCCACAGTCGGCCAATATCGGTCAACAGTCAGCATATGGCCCATCCGCTTGTCTTGACATACAGGGCACCACATTCACTAGTGGACAAGCATCTTCCGCATCTAAACTCGCTGGTCCCTCATCCACTCCTGCTGCTGTTGGACCCCATTGCCCTGCCACATCACCTGTTTCTACCATGTGCCCCCTTCCCTAATCATCTGCAGATTATAGTTGTACCATGGAATTTATCACACATCATGATTTGGTTGACTCAATGCTCCAGTAGATCATTCAGTTGTGAATAAATAAACTTTGGCGTGAATTCCATGTATATTGATTAATTCAATTGTTGAGTATGTTAGCTATATATTATATTTTACCAGGAACATTTTGACCTGAGATAATCTTGTAAAAATAAAAGCCAGTCACTTATGACCGACAAGTGGCCGTTACATATCAGTGTAGAATTTCGGCCAATCTATACATATCACCAGCAACTATTGACCAACCACCTCATCCAGCATATTCATATTTGGCCAAGGTGGTCCTGAAATATATACATCGTGTAAGATTGTCCATGAATACCGACACATTGACCAATTAGTATCCATAACTCATTTATATGCTTAGAATGTCGGCCCATCTGTATATATCATTACCACTGCCCACTCAGCCCATCTGTTTGGATCTGGTATATATTTCATCTGCTACCTACCAATGTCAATAGAAAAGTGTACACTATACACCATGGGCCCACTGTTGGTATCACATACACACTTGAGGCCAGCCCACCGGTTGCTATCAGATATATGCTTGAGACCGTCCTATCTGCTCATATCAGGTACACATTTTATACACTAATCACCAAAGTACATAAAAAAGTGTACACTTATCTACTATACCCTAAATCACATACTATGGGCCCACTGTGGGTATCACATACGTACTTCACCAGCCCACCTGTTGGTATTGGATATGCACTTGAGATCGGCCCATCTGCTTATATCAGGTACATAATTTATACACTAACCACCAAAGTCAATGAAAAAGTGTACACTTATTGACTATACCACATACTATGGGCCTACTGTTGGTATCACATACACACTTGACATTGGCCCACCTGTATTTAACACAACAATACATTGATGGATCCACATGGGCTGGCCTGTGTAGAACAGGGATATTTCAACCTTGGCTGTATGTATTATACAAGGATAAAGTGACTGCAGTATGTGAAAGAGTCGTGGGAAAAAATTACGAAGCTCTAAGTCAAAGAGCTTGAAAGACCAGTTCTTGCTGATGATAATAATCTGTGATTGCCAGTCGCATAACTTCAAGAGTCTGGACCTCCACCAAAGTTAGTGTTTGGGGATTGTGAAGAACATGTATCAGAAGTGGAATATATGAATGTGAGGTCTTCTTGAACTGAAAAGTAGTCAGCAATCCTAGCCAAATACAGTTGTAATATTAACAGTTTACCTGTTTGGTTCCATAGGGAATGAAAATGATTTCGCCAGCTTTAAAATAGAAGTTAGGAAGGCAAGCTGGCTTTGACTAATAAACAAACATTCACAGTCACTTGCCTAAGCCACAGCTCATTTTAAAACATGCTAACACTCACTTTAGAAATCGTCTGAGCCTTAGGCCTGCTGTGAGATTGAGAAGCAGACTTTAGTCCTTGGTTGGCTTCGCTATTTGCCTTCCTAGCATCATCTATTTGGCTGCTGGTCTGTCATTTGCACTTTGGAGTCATATGAAAAATTAAAGAGAAAAAAGAAAGATAAACAAGTGATTGGTGACAGAAGAGACAGTAGTAAAATTTAAGTGAGCTGTAGATTCTTGTGGTATGAAAGTGCTCAGTCATGACCAAATTCAACCACATCACCTGTCATGTGATCTGTGGCTGTAAATACTGTACACTTAAAACTTAATATTGTCAATTTCAAGCCAGTCTCCTTGCTTGTATATTGAGAGTTTAGGTACTATAATTGTAGTTAGCTATTAGAGCTATTGTGATACCCAATACTACTGGTATCACTATCTGTGTCACTACTAGATCCAACATCAGTATTGGTAAGCTTCAAAAGCCTGAACATAACACCAAGTGCTCGACACCATTTTATTGCCCTAGGTTGCCAAATAAAATCAGGCAAGGAGATGCATAATTCCTTGGTCCTCTGTCGTCCCGACCGAAGAATTTCATGAGAGAGATATACATCATCATCTCATTCATGTAGAAAAACACCAAATCCTTCTGGAATGTGCCCTGCCTCTCGTACTTGAGCAAGAGCTTGATGAAAAGTGTGAAGAGTAGCAGAGTTGAATGGACTGGCATGCTTTGGAACATGAACAGGCTTATATGGAAATGAGCATCATGATCAGCAGCAATAGCTGAGGAAGCTTTTGTAGATCTTCTGTTTTGACACCTGGATCCTCAAAATCATTGATGTCTTCCCACTCCTCCTCTGATTCTTTGTCATCTGTTTCTCCATCAGTAGATCCAGAAGCTGAGTATACCTCATCTGAGGGGTGACCTGCTCCAGTTTGATGGGGTGCACGATGTAGAAAGCTGATCTCTGCTGGGCTCAGCAGAAATTGTACTACCTAGACAACCAAATATTTAGGTAGATCTTAGCACGACCTAGTCTGCTATACTTGCAGCACAAGTGCATTTGATCCTAAAGGGATTGCTAATTGGTATTAGTAGTAAAAATGTGTCAGTAATGCAAATAACAAAATGTCTGATGCTGCGAAACGATGTCTGAAGGTAATCTGATGATGTCTGAAGGTACTTATCCATGT